ATTCCACAAGCAGGACATAAACGCAAGAGCATCTCCCCATTTCTGTTACTTAGCAACCAGTGTTCAGAGGCACACAAACTTTGACCCTAGAGCTAATATAGTAGAGCCAAAGACCATAGGATCAAATCCCTGGGAGCTTCTGAGTAGCATGGACTATGATATCAACCTTTACCTCCTCAGCTTTTTCTGCCATCTGAGCTTAGCTGAAAGCTCCACAATAGCTAAGAGTGAACTATTTTTGTAAGCTTTCCCTGTTGTAAACACAAAGTGGTTGTGGGTGGTTTGGGCAATAAAGCTTTATCGACTTTACGGAAGACGTGCTTCTCGTTTGTTGATATGGATCAACTGAGTTGTCTGCATTACTGGATTCTTCTTACAGAGGGGTGGCGGTGGGGGTCTATCACGAGGGGTCCTTGTACTGAGATTTTACTACACCACTGCATGATGACTAGCAGCCACTGAAAGCCGCATCGTTCTGGATTGTATTTACTCTCCTTAATTCTTTTTACCCACTGGAAATGACCATCACTAGCACTTCCGCTGAATGACTGACCAATTCGTGAAGAGGCTTCCATAGCCCTTTGGGTTGTCATTGAACCTGAAGGTGCCTGGAGGCAGACTTCTGTCAAATGAAGTTTTTGTTAGCTGAGGAGTCTGGCAATAAAGCCTATGCTGGACCAGGTGCTCCCACCAGAGTTCCCTAGCATAGTACAGTACACCATCATCCGTAAGTTCTAATCTTCCCCATTTTAGGTTCCCATTTTTTTAAAGTGAGCATTGGGCATTTACAATCAGTATTGTTGAATTTTTATAATCTTGCATGCTGCCTCTAATTGTTTGGCTGGAAGGGAATGTTCTGGGTTGGGGCGACTGTCAATCTATCCAACACTGGCCAATCCGGAATGTTCTGGGTTGGAGTGACTGTCAATCTATCCAACACTGGCCAATCATTCCTTTCCACTTCTGAATTCAAAGAGAGCCCCGCCTCTCTGCTGAGTGTTCTGTTTCCCTCTCTTATGTCTGTTGGAGGTCGTCAATTGGTTGTTAGATAACAAAACTGTTATCTGTTTGCATCTGGGATTTACTGAGACTATACGGCCAGTTAATGAGAAAGGAAGAGGATTATCTGAGGAACTGGATTCCCCTCTGTGAGTCTTTGGACTTCTCCTGAGTATCAAAATGAAAATTTTAACCAGAAGTTCAAAACTCTGCAACAATTGTCAAATTTAAAATTTGGCTTCAGTTCATCCAAATATTAATGTTACTCTCTTTCTCTCTCTTTTTTTTTAAGCCTCTGGGAATCATTTTATCTTTTAAAGGAAAGTGTTCTTACCATGAGATGCAGGAGCAGCAGCTACGAGAAAAGTTTCAAAACCTGCATAAAAGGGGGGAAGAGGGTAAACGAAAGCATTCGTAGGGGTCAGTGAACATTTTGTACAAACACCGTGAGATGGCGCCATTTGCATATGTCTGTCAAATAGAGCCGAATGTAACTCACTTTCCGATATTTGGCTGGCAGCTCAATTTCTTTTGCTTATCCTTCCATTCATTCCTCCTGCTGCTCCGTGTTAATGACCAGACCTTTTCTGGTGGATGACTTCAAGTAAAACAGAGGCTGCGCTACCAAAGAAGTCTTTGCTTTTGCCACTTCAAAAAGGGACGTGCAGAGGGATGGGAGGAAAAGTTCTTTGGGCCACATTTAAAACCAATGAATTAAACCAATTTACACTCCTTAGACTGAACTGTTGCATAGCTCAGTGGTTTAGGCAGAGGTTGGGAGCTGGATTTCACATGGGGCCTCTTTGACAGGGGCTGGATTAGATGATCCAGAGGGTCCCTTCCAGCTCTGCCGTTCTAAGCTGTTGATAAATGTTCTGTTAATCAAAACATAACTATCAGGGGAGATGAAAATCTCTTTAATCCATTCGGATGGGACATTTCTTCCTCTTTAAGCATCAGTTTTTTTGCACCGATCTTTAGGAAATCTGTGTAACATACAATGTTCCTTTTATACCACCTTTTTATGGGTCTCTGGACCTTTTTTTTGGCCTTTCAAATCAAGTTTTTTCTACTTTACTAGTTACAGGGGCCACATTGACTCCACAGTTACAATGGTTTCACTGTCCAGACTTTTCAAACCCAGTTTTTTTCTCCTACTTTACTAGTTACAGGGGCCACATTAACTCCACAGTTACAATGGTTTCACTGTCCATTTCTGAGCACAATTCAAAGTGTTGGTTTGGACTTACAAAGCCCTGACTGATTTGAATCCTCACTACCAGAAAGACCTCATCTCCTGATAGGATCTTGCCCAGGTTTTTAAAAACATCAGAGGACACCTTTCTCTCTGTCCTGCTCCCCTTTCAGGGACATTTGGTGAGGATATTAAAGAGGGCCTTCTTTGTGGCTGCTCCCAGACAACGCCTTTCTCTCTGTCCCGCTCCCCTATCAGGGACATTTGGTGAGGACATTAAAGAGGGCCTTCTCTGTGGCTGCTCCCAGACTCTGGGACTCCCACCCACAGGAGGCCAAGCTGGCCCCGTCTTTGCTGCCCTTCTACAAGCAGGTGAATAACTTTGTCTTCAGGCAGGCTTTTTTCCAGTAATTTGCTGCCAAAGAGGAGCTGTCATTTTATGGGGTTGTTCCTTCCCTTTTTAAAAGTTTTTATATTGTTTGTCTCAGTATTGTAAGGAGAAAGGTGGGGGGTATAAGTGGTTTAAATAAATACATAATACATTTGTATCAGGGAAGAGTTTAGAGCTCTGTGATTTCCTAGTGCTAAATCATCAGTAAATCATCAGTAAAACACATGGAAACACATTGGACCCTCCAGCATAAATTCACGTGCAGTTTATCTACGTATTTTCTTTAAAGTGTACAATTTACCTAACATAAACATTTGCCACTCCATTTTTAAAGAGACAAACACATTTTTCATATTTTTTCAGTGGTGAGTATTTTCAGACAGATGCCTTCAAAAAGGTGTCCGTTCTTTTAAGCTCATATTATTTCTCAGAAACAGTCTGTAAAGCTCTTCTATGTTTTGGTTTGTCTTTGGTATTTTTATCAATATTTCTAATGCTCACTATCATCACTGACCACTAGAGGGAGACAGAGGGTATTTCCTGTTGGTAACAGCAGCTCAGTGCATCTGTAGCATGCAATGCAATGAATCCTTAAGGAGACACAAGCAGTCTCAAGAAGCTGAGAAAGATTTCCCACAAGCAGTCTTTCAAACCCAAGGAGACACTTTGTTTTCCAATGTGGATATTACTGAATTTTGCAATATATTTTTCGCTCCATCAATGCATGTCTTGCCAACTCAAGGGACAGTTGTTAGGGTAAGCTGAGCACAAAACTAATCTAGTTCTTTGGGATAGTTCTTCTCACTAACAAGATAAACCAGCACCATAGCTTCGAAGTAGCTAGTTACAAGTAATGTAGTTAGGTACAGTGGTGCCTCGCTTGACGAGGATAACTTGTTCCAGCGAAATCGCTGTAGAGTAAAATCCTCGTCAAGTGAAATAAAAAAGCCCATTGAAATGCATTGAAAACCGGTTCAATGCATTCCAATGGGCAAAATACCTCAGCATCCAGCCAAGCTCCTCCATAGGGCGACCATTTTCCGATGCCTGTGCAGCGAAAAATCCATCCTGAACACAGCGGGGAGCTATTTTGAATAGCTGGTGGCCATTTTGAAAACCCGACGACGGGGAGCCGTTTTGAATAGCCGGCGGCCATTTTGAAAACCCGATGATCAGCTGTTTTGATTGTTGTAATGCGAAGAATCTGTTTCTGAAGCAGGGAACCGATCGTCATAAAGCGGATTTTGACCATTAAAACACCGTTTTGCGATTGCACTAGCGATCGCAAAAACATCGTCATGAAGTGGTTTTGAATAGCCGGCGGCCATTTTGAAAACCCGATGATCAGCTGTTTTGATTGTTGTAATGCGAAGAATCTGTTTCTGAAGCAGGGAACCGATCGTCATAAAGCGGATTTTGACCATTAAAACACCGTTTTGCGATTGCACTAGCGATCGCAAAAACATCGTCATGAAGTGGACCATTAAAACACCATTTTGCGATTGCACTAGCGACCGCAAAAACATCGTTGTGAGTGGATTCATCGCCAAGCAGGGTAATTGTTAAACGGGGCACCACTGTACAATACATTATTTTGTGGTAATAAGTAATGTGACTAGCAGTCACTATATAATTTTTGAGTATAACGAGAGACTCCAAGTTACTTTTAACACTTATTTTTAAAGGCATTTTTAGAGAACTTATTACAGGCAATTTTCCGTTTTTATACCAAACTACTGTCAGTGGTGCTAAGTAGTAAGGGCAGTCCTTTGTATTCTGGTTAATCTTCTGCATTTTTGGAAATTGAGTCATGGCAACTGGACTTCTTTCATGTTAGGATGAAATGCTGAAAAGTAGCTTCTTCAGTCATGGATGAGAAGCAAAACATTTTAGCCTAATAAGAAAAAAGTCCCGTTGCCATGACTCAGCTTCCAAATAACCTCACCTGGATGACTGAGAAGCTTCCAAATAACCTCACCTGGATGACCAGATATACTTCTGTACTTTTATAAACATTTCTGAGGCTCACTATTACTGGACACTAGAGGGAAGCAGAAGGTGTTTCCTGTTAGTAACAGCAATGTGGTGCATCAGCAATGTGCAATGAGATGAATTTCTTGCACAATAACAGATAATGACGGAGTAAATGACTCCCAGGACAAAATGAGTAATGCAGCAAATGCACTACCCTTTACACGGAATGTTCCAGACCCCAACTGCCATCTCTCTGCTGCATCCCTTCAAACTGGGCAGGCAGGTGGGGCGGGACATGGAAAGTGATGCAGAAACTGGACACAACAAAGGACTAGGAAAATGCAAAACTAACAAAACCCCAAACCCAATATTATCAGAACGCTCTCTTTTTTTATTGAAAGATAGGCCAGTGTTCATCTGCAGGCCACAATGTTTCGTTACCTTCGCGAGCAATGGGACCCACATGCAAAGAATAGCCGGTGCCAGCAGCCCGACGGTTTCCAACTCCAGAACAACTCTATAAAAAAAAAAAAGACACATTTTCCTTTGGGCGGGCGGGTGCCATGACCTAATGAAATATCTGTCCTATTAAGAGATACCTGCTGTATTGCTTGGAAAAGTTACTTTTTCCAACCCAGAATTCTCAGAATTTCCCAACCCACATGGCTAGAGGCCATGCTGGCTGTAGGATTCTGTGATTTGTTACCCCCAATTTTTAATGCATCTCATCTGCCCTTGTCAAGCTACACTTTATGCTGAACAGTTCAGTTCCTACTTACCGGCTGGCAACCTTCAGTGCTGTTATCACAGAGACGGATTTCACAGTGGAGGTGGACAAGGTTATGATTCCCAACAAACTTGAAGACTTGGAGAGAAAACATTCCTTGAGATCCTACTCCATTTTCGGGCACTGTTATGGTTGAATCCTGTGTGTTTGGGCAGCTGGAACATCAGCAAGGATTGAATACGAGAATTTAAGAAGAGCCCTGCTGGATATGAGTACTACTGACAGTCAGCTGTGTCTCTCCCTGAATGTGTCATGACAACCAATTACCTCTCCTAGATTTCTAACCTATAGTCCTGCATAGATAGTCCCATTTTGATTACTGAACTTGCAAAAGTATCCGGTTGCTCATGGGTTGAACCTCCTGTTACTCTGATGCATCAGAACCTTCAAGCAATGCTTGTAGCTATCAGATCCAGACAAATTTTGCCTGCCCCATCCAAGGCAAGTTGGCTGTATAGCTCAGCGAATTAGGTACAGTTGTGCCTCGCTTAACGGGCGCCCCGTTTAATGACAAATCCGCATAGCGACAATTTTTTTGCAATCATTTCTGCGATCACATTGTGATGTTTTAAATGGTAAAAAAACGCTTTGCAATGATCGGTACACTGTTTCGCATACCGATCATCGCATAGCGATGATTTCCCAACAGCTGATCGGCGGTTCCAAAATGGCCGCCGGGTAAAAAAATGGCTGCCCGCTGTGTTTTTGCCCGGATTCCTCGCTTACCGGGCAGCGAAAATGGCTGTCGTATGGAGGATTTTCACTTAAAGGTGAGTTTTTTGCCCATAGGAACGCATTAAATGGGTTTTAATGCATTCCATCTAGGCACTCACCCACCGCTTAGTTTCAACTTGCCCATAACCTTGCTGCACAATCTGCATTCAGATTGTGCTTAGGACTCAACGTCTGGCTGTATTTTTTTCCCCTTCTGTCCACTAGCTCCAGTCTCATTCTTGATTCTACTGTGGATATGATTATAATCTGTCGGACCTGATCCCATCCACTCCCAAGAACCCTGTAAATTAAAATTACGACCTTCAGAGTGAACCACTTTTCTTATTCTACCTGTTTTGAATGATGTAATATTTCAGAGGATCACTGGCACTTTCCGTAGGCGTTGCAAAACAATTTTCCATCCGCAAGACAAACTGAGCTGTATCCCCACTGGCAATCATGACCCCAACATACAGGTAGTCCTCAGTTGATAATATTGCCTTCAATCCCTCGTAGGGTGAAGTGTAATTTGAATCTCTGTAGAGAGCCATCTTAATTATAAACTCTCCTGCACCTCCAATGCTGATGTTGATAGAACTGGAAGGAACAAAATCAGTTAAGACAAAAAGCTAGAAGAACCATTGACACTTAGCATCAGCAGTTGAGTGGGGGTACCTCTGTTTTTGTCCTTCTTTGTTCCTGGTCTACATGACGATTCAAATTCCTATCCAAATAGTTTTTCACCAGTGCTAACAGCAAAAACTATTGACTTTGTAGGATAGGTATATCTGAGTTATTCCTAGTCCATGTCAATTCACGGGGCGTCCAATCCCCCACTGTGCATTCCAGAAGAGCCAGCCTGTGTGGCTTTGGCCAAGCTGCACAGTCTCAGGGCACACTCAAAAGAAGGGGATGGTAAACCACTTCCAAGTACTCTCCACCAAGAAAACCCTGAAAAGAGTTGTAGTGAGTCCCAATGGATTTGATACCACACAATGATTATTACATCCAAGGCAAGTTTACTGCAATGGACATCCCTGGAGTGCACTTAGGGAAAGCTTGGTTCACTCTTTTAAGGAAGGCTACCCCCCACAGGAGGGAGTGAGGCATTCAACTAATTCTATCCATCATTGCTTCTTAAACTATAATGATTGCAAAGCTATGCATTGGGTAGAGGAATCTGCCACCTTGTGGCCTAAGGTAGTACAGCGGCCTTGAAACACACAAGAGACATTGGAATGTTTCTCAAAAAACAAATAACTTCAAGGCACACGTCTCTAGGGTTGCCTTCATAGGCATAGCAGTTTTCAGGGATAGGAGTTATCACCCCGAAACAGGCTCTCCGATAGAGGCACATCCTCTTGTTAATACAGGTTTGTTTTCGGATTCTCATCCTCTGAATTCACATAAGCGTAGCTATATCAGGATTTCAGGAGGTCTCCCATCTAGGCACTCACCCACAGCTTAGTTTCAACTTGCCCATAACCTTGCTGCACAATCTGCATTCAGATTGTGCTTAGGACTCAACGTCTGGCTGTATTTTTTTCCCCTTCTGTCCACTAGCTCCAGTCTCATTCTTGATTCTACTGTGGATATGATTATAATCTGTCGGACCTGATCCCATCCACTCCCAAGAACCCTGTAAATTAAAATTACGACCTTCAGAGTGAACCACTTTTCTTATTCTACCTGTTTTGAATGATGTAATATTTCAGAGGATCACTGGCACTTTCCGTAGGCGTTGCAAAACAATTTTCCATCCGCAAGACAAACTGAGCTGTATCCCCACTGGCAATCATGACCCCAACATACAGGTAGTCCTCAGTTGATAATATTGCCTTCAATCCCTCGTAGGGTGAAGTGTAATTTGAATCTCTGTAGAGAGCCATCTTAATTATAAACTCTCCTGCACCTCCAATGCTGATGTTGATAGAACTGGAAGGAACAAAATCAGTTAAGACAAAAAGCTAGAAGAACCATTGACACTTAGTATCAGCAACTGAGTGGGGGTACCTCTGTTTTTGTCCTTCTTTGCTCCTGGTCTACATGACAATTCAAATTCCTATCCAAATAGTTTTTCACCAGTGCTAACAGCAAAAACTATTGACTTTGTAGGATAGGTATATCTGAGTTATTCCTAGTCCATGTCAATTCATATATACATTACTGAACAGCGACGTCTACGTTGGCTTGGGCATGTCGTGAGAATGGTTGATAGTTGGATTCCAAAGGATGTCCTGTGTGGAGAATTAGTGCAGCGAAATCACCCCAGAGGGAAACCCCAGCTGCGATACAAGGATATCTGCAAGCGGGATCTGAAGGCCTTAGGAATGGACCTCAACAGAGGGGAAACCCTGACATCTGAATGTTCAGCCTGGAGGCAGACAGTGAAGCATAGCCTCTCCCAATTTGAAGAAGTTGGATTCCAAAGGATGTCCTGTGTGGAGAATTAGTGCAGCGAAATCACCCCAGAGGGAAACCCCAGCTGCGATACAAGGATATCTGCAAGCGGGATCTGAAGGCCTTAGGAATGGACCTCAACAGAGGGGAAACCCTGACATCTGAATGTTCAGCCTGGAGGCAGACAGTGAAGCATAGCCTCTCCCAATTTGAAGAGACCCTTGCCCAGCAGGCCAAGGCAAAGAGGCAGTCCCTAAATCAGCCAAATCAGGGAGCTGGACAGGGGACAGATTGAATTTGTCTTCAGTGTGGAAGGGATTGTCACTCTCGAATCAGCCTTCTCAGCCACACTAGATGCTGTTTCAAGTCCTCTATACAGAGCATGTTACCACAGTCTTTTGAGACTGAACGATGCCTAACTAAATGTCAATTCAATATATATTTATTCTAGAACACAAGAACATTGCTATTTTGGCCTATGACTTCTGAAATCCTACAAAGCATTATGGCCATTAGTCATGAAGGATTCTATAAAATGTAGTCCAAAAATAGTAACATTTTAATGTCCATTCTTTCATCTCAGGAATTGATTGAACAGGAAAAAGCATGAACCTCAGCATTAATCTCATGCACCACTATTTAAAAAGAATACCAACAAGCATTCTTTTTAAATAAGTACATGTTCAGAGGAGAGGTTGAATATTATGAAGGATTTTAAAACAAAACCCATGAAAAAACAGTTGAGGATGCTTAACCTAAAGATGAGAAGACTGAAATATGATTTGACTGATCTTCAAATATTTGATGAGTTGTCACAGGGAGAAAGGAACACACTTGTTTTCTGTGGCTAAAGTTACATAATGGATTCAAATTATCAAAATAGCAGACTCAAACATTAGGAAGATTTTCCTGACAATAAGAAATGTTTGACAGTGGAATGAATTAATTTGGAAGATGATGGATTCTCCTTCATTATACATTTCTGAAACAGATGTTGGGCAGCCATTTGTCAGATATACTTTAGGTGCTTCAGAAGGGGGTTGGACTTAATAAACCTTTGGGTACGTTCTTGCTCTCATCTGAAGGAAATCAACCCTGAGTGCTCACTGGAAGGACAGATCCTGAAGCTGAGGCTCCAATACTTTGGCCATCTCATGAGAAGAGAAGACTCCCTGGAAAAGACCCTGATGTTGGGAAAGTGTGAGGGCAAGAGGAGAAGGGGACGCCAGAGGACGAGATGGTTGGACAATGTCATCGAAGCGACCAACACGAATTTGACCCAACTCCAGGAGGCAGTGAAAGACAGGAGGGCCTGGCATGCTCTCGTCCATGGGGTCACGAAGAGTCGGACATGACTAAACAACTAAACAACAATAAACCTTGCTCTACAGTTCTATACAGTGGGGTCTCTACTTAAGAACGTCCCTACTTAAGAACAATCCAACTTAAGAACAGCTCCATTTGCTAAATTTTGCTTCTACTTGAGAACAGAAATCCAAGATAAGAACAGGAAAAAAAACCTTTCCTGCTCTTTTTTTAACCTTAGGTCATCTTAGGTTAAAAAAAATTTCTCCCCCTAGTGGTAGAGTACGTATTAACCAGCTTTGCATTAGTTCCTATGGGAACTAATGCTTCAATGTACGAACGCACCTCTACATAACAAAAAAAACAGCCAGAACGGATTAATTGGTTTTCAGTCCATTCCTATGGGAAATTTTGCTTCAACTTACGAACGTTTCAACTTAATTTTGCTTCAACTTAAGAACGTTTCAACTTAAGAACACCATTCCAAAACGGATTAAGTTCTTAAGTAGAGGTTCCACTGTAGTTTCTATGGACGGAAAAGAGCAGATACGGATTAAATGGTTTTCAATGCATTCCTATGGGAAATGCAGATTCAACATAAGAACTTTTCAACTTGAGAACCACCTTCCAATACGGATTAAGTTCTTAAGTAGAGACCTCACTGTAGTTTTGATTTGTTCTGCTCTGTTTCTCCATTAATCTGATTTTTAAAATAAGACTTAACAAATATTTTTATTTAAACACAGATTTTTTTCAAGTTAATTCCTCACAAAACACACATCCTAGTATTTTAATATGCATTTTGACATGTCTTTTAGAACCACACAACACAATATAGGGAGGTACAAGATCTGAAAGGTAAATAGATTCATATCTGCCCATTTGTAGAAAAGATTCACATCATGGCAGCCTGCTTCAAACAAGCTTGAATTGCATTGCATCCTCAAGTGTCTCTAAATTGCTGCTCTTATAAATCCATCTGGTGCATGTCTATTCAGAAATAAACTCCAGTGAATTCAATGGGGCTTACTCCTAGGGGAGAGTGGATTGTCTTGGGAGCAGATCCAGGAGGATCTGCTCCAGAGTTTATAATTCAGAAAATTAAAGTGGTATTTATGTTGGATAAGGACTCCCTCCATTCATCTGAAGTAGTATGCTTAGACACACAAAAGCTTATGAAAAATTATTCATCTGAAGTAGTATGCTTATGAAAAATACAGACTAATTACTGGTAGTCTCTTACTGTAGGTGCTACATTACTATTTCTGGTATGTTATATAAAGCTGAGCATTTCTTTCCTCTTCTTTCATTTCCTTCTTATTAAAACTTCCCAGATCCCACACTGACCATGTTGGTCCTATGTCCTAACAATAAAGGGGTCTGCAGAAACTTTCCCAGCAGGGCTGATTCTATTGTTTTAGACTCAATCAGAATCAAGGTTTTCCTTCTTAACATAGAGTTAAATCTGCAGAATAAAGTTCACAAGGCATTCCAGGTACTGTACTGAAAACAGTAACTTGTCCAAGTTCTGCATTTATGGAGTGATTGCCCTGATGAGGGAACTGAGAGGTTACCCTGGAACAAGACTGGAATTGGTCTGTTGCTTTTAGCTTCTGCTTGTGGGCTTCCCGGAGACATTTTGTCTGTCCCTGCCACCATTCAAGTGCTGAACCTGGTAGATTCCAGGTCAAAGCTAGCAGTCAGCAGCCTGTGTCCCATCGGCCATATTTAACCCGTTGGAGACCCAACACCAGCATCCCTACACAACCCAATCTTTTTTTTCCAAATGCGTGGCTCAGAAAGTGTCCTTGTGTCCACAAAAGGGCCTTTTCATTTATTTATTTATTTATTTAATTTATATCCCGCCTATCTAGTCTCATTGAGTCCACTCTAGGCGGCTTACAGCAAGCACAATACAATATATTAAAACAATTTTAAATAGGGGAAAAACTTTAGACAGATGGGACGAACACTAAGAAAGGGGAAAAAGAGGGAAGATTAGGAGTTGGCTGAAGGGAAGGCCCACCGAAACATCAGTGTTTTTAATTGATTTTTAAAAATACCCAGCGAGGGAGCCGCGCGAATGTCAGGGGGAAGGTTATTCCAGAGGTGAGGAGCCACCGCCGAGAAGGCCCGATTTCTTGTCTTTTCTTTCTGGGCCTCCCTCGGCATTAGGCTCCTCAGCCTCACCTCCTGACTCGCATGAGTGACACGTGCAATTTTTATAAGAACATTTGTGTTAGAAAAAATTGGCGCCTGAAGGTCGCAGGCCCCCAAAGTCAATGTGTGGCCTCTGGAGGTTGCCCACCATCAATATAATCCAATAGGATCCTTCCAGTATTCTTGTAAAACAATAATTTGAGAAATCTAATCGGGTTCACATGTTTGACATACATGTGTACCTTCAGATTATGTATTTTATTTACGATTCATAGGCCTCCTTTTTCCTGATGAGGGGATCCAAGGCGGCTCGGAACATTAAAATAAGTAAAATTAAAAGCACAATAAATTATTGATTTAAAATCAATTGAGCATTTAGTGGTGGGTTTAAAAGAAGCAACTGAATATGCAGAAATATGAAATGTGCTGTATGCTATACGAGATCACTATACTATACAGTATGCTACACTACAAAATTTGTGTTACTATACCACATCACTGCAGTATTGTCTACACCAGGGGTAGACAGCCTTATGTTTTTAGTTCTTTGAAGATATACCTCCCATAATCTCTGCCCATTGGCCATGCTGATTGGGGGTTTATAGGAGCTGTAGTCCAAAAGATATGGAAAGTACCAGCTTGCCTGCTTTTGGTCTACTGGGTTTGGCAGTGCATCTCCAGAGTGTCAGATAGAGAGATTTCCAGACCTAGAAGATCTCAGATCCAATCAAACTGAACCTGGGACCTTCTGTATGGAGAGCACCAGCTGCTTAAGTTACGATTTTTTTTTAAAAAAGCATTGGCCCAATTAATTACACCACTGATACTCCTACCTGATTTCTCCTCCTTGGTGGTGATGCCTGTTCTAAGTAATAACAAGGAAAAGAGGTCATCCTTAGCTCCCAAGGGGTTGTGTAATGAATGGTATAGACTGAGTCTTGTCATTTAGTCGTTAAGTTGTGTCTGACTCTTCGTGACCCCATGGACCGGACTGAGTCTAGGTTAAGGCTAATCCTTTTTTGATGGTTGTTGTGGGTTTTTCGGGCTCTTTGGCCATGTTCTGAACGTTGTTCTTCCTAACATTTCGCCAGCAAAACACAGCGAAACTTCAGGAAGAACAACCTTCAGAACACAGCCAAAGAGCCTGAAAAACCCACAACCACCATCAGATCCCTGCCGTGAAAGCCTTCGAGAATACACGAATCCATTTTTATCTCTACATCTCACCCTCATAACACAGTTAAACTTTATCTGTTGTTTCCATGCCATGACAGAACTTGGAAGGGCTCCTTTTTCTGGACTTCCTCTCCCAGAATCTCTCTGACCAAACTGGTCGATGGATTTGGGAACCTGTAATCCAAAGCAGCAACTCTCTTCCCTGGCATGCGAATGCACATGGTAGGTGAGCATCCGGGATCACGTCCTTCCATTATTCTCCAATGTCACGAGTGCTAACGCAAAATGAAAGGATCATTAGCTCAGATGGATAGCTCTTTCCCTTAATAAGGAATGCCCTTACCTGACAATGGGTTGAATGGCTGTTTCGAGACTGATTTCCATATCCAGCGGGTATGAACAGTGAAAATTAATTTTGATTTCATTCTCTCTAATGATAGTCTTGTCTGCCAGATATAGTGTGTTACTATATGTAGCATGGGTTTCATTTTTCTGTTGGGGGAAAAAAAGGATTGAAGCCACACAGCTCTTGACGGCAGTGAAGTTACATCTGTCTATGGGCTAAATGTTTTTGAGTAAGCATTTTAAATGAGGAAAACATGTTTAGGAGAGACGACTGAGCTCCTCATACCTACTGTACTCAGCATTTTCACAGTTGCTTAGAGTCTCTGATCACCAGCTGCTTTAGTTATGCATTTTTTAAAAAATATACGTATATTTTTTAAAAATCTGCACCAGACTACAAGAGACAAAGCCACTCAAGACTTACAGGAAAGGCACAAGGTCACTGTGACATAACTACAAAACCAATCGGATGCAGCAGCATAGTGACAGCACACAGTTAAGTGAGAGGATCAGGTTTCTTGCCTTCCCTCTGTATCGTCGGGTGCCATGCAGTCCATCAGCTTTGAAACATTTGACGTGAATAAAGAACCTACCGTTAACTGTGTTCCACACCGGCCAGCCTGGGCAGGGGTCACCACTGAAACCATGGTTTTATTCTCCTCTTCCTCGAAACCAGAACATCTGTAGTCTTTCAAGTACATGATGACGCTGGGGAAGCCCAGTTCACTCAGGACATCCTTTTCAATAGAAACTTTAATTTCCTTTGCCCCACACTCGAGTTGTGGTTCCAAGCTAGAAATGTCTTAATAGATAACAATAGGTTTTTATTTACCAAGCAATGCTAGGGAATCCTTTATGACCACTCTATGGAGTGCTGTTGTTTTTATGAAATCCATTCAAAGCACTCATGCAGTTTTAGAAACACAAACCATGTCCTATGCTGTAATTTGCTACATAAATAAATAAATAAATAAATAAATAGATAGATACATAGATAGATAGATAGATAGATAGATAGATAGATAGATAGATAGATAGATAGATAGATAGGTAGGTAGGTAGGTAGGTAGGTAGGTAGGTAGGTAGGTAGGTAGGTAGGTAGGTAGGTAGGTAGGTAGGTAGGTAGGTAGGTAGGTAGGTAGGTAGGTAGGTAGGTAGGTAGGTAGGTAGGTAGGTAGGTAGGTAGGTAGGTAGGTAGGTAGGTAGGTAGGTAGGTAGGTAGGTAGGTAGGTAGGTAGGTAGGTAGGTAGGTAGGTAGGTAGGTAGGTAGGTAGGTAGGTAGGTAGGTAGGTAGGTAGGTAGGTAGGTAGGTAGGTAGGTAGGTAGGTAGGTAGGTAGGTAGGTAGGTAGGTAGGTAGGTAGGTAGGTAGGTAGGTAGGTAGGTAGGGATAGATAGATAGATAGATAGATAGATAGATAGATAGATAGATAGATAGATAAATTTTTAAAAAAGTTATTGGCTTCGGGAGGAACAGGATAATAGATGGACAAGCACTAGTAGCTTGGGTCCCCAAATATTCTTGGAGTAAAATTCCCAGATGCCTTCACCACTAGCTGTGCTGGCCAGGATTTTTTTGACTAAGGTATGTCTATTTCCATATGGAAGCTAATAATGGAAAAAGCATGATCGAGGAAACAATCATATGCCACTATGACCTGCAACAAAATGTTGCACTGACTTTATCCTAAGTCAGAATTGACTTGATGGGACAAGATTATTATTATGAAGTAGATTTCCGGTAGTCAAATATCTGATCTTAAAGGAGCTGCTGAACTGGTTGATTCCCCGGGTGTGTAATGCTGCATGTGTGAAAGCTGATCACTGTTATATTGAAAAATCCAGGGTAAGATGTATGTCTGAGCTGCCACTGGAAGTTGCAATCATTATTTTCATGACTTCCCTGCACTAATGTACAGCATCTTTCAGTCTCTCATGACCTTGACACGTACCAGGCTCTTGACTGTTATAACAACTCCATTTCCCATCCACTAGCCTGCATTCTTCTTCTCTCTTACACGGAGGGCAGGGGTTCTCAGTGAAGTTTGGATCTGGAAAATTGGAACTGATTAAAGCACAAAGGTTGCCATAATTTAGGGGCTACTTATTTCTTCTCAAAGCAAGTTTTTTTTTAATGAAGGAATTTTAGGCAACATACCTGTGCAATAACCGAGAGTGCAAGCTGGTGTTCCATCAAAGTTGTAGACATAGTAGCCACCCGGGCAAGCTTTCACCTCTACGGTGATGGACCAGTAGCAGCAGTTACCGCCCCAGTCGGCGCAGGCTGTCCGACGTACTATTTCGTTATTCCTAGTGGGGTGTGTGCCACTTAGCCACATACTCGCAATCGTGTTGCACTTACTTACTGGCACGCACGTCTCCGGCATACGCCTTCCTCCACTCCCTACAAACTGAAACCAGCCTATTTTATCCTGGTCACAGTTGGACCCTGACCTATAGGACGTGCTTCGCCAAGGTTGGTCCAGAACCGTGTGAGTCACACACGGATCCGAGCAGTTACGAGAGCCACTGGCTTGTACACATCCTTCCGCAAAGCTTGCCACAGCCCTGCAGTGGTAGCCGTCTCCTTCGTAACCCTCGGGGCAAAGACAGGAATAGTTGCCGTCATGATTGATACACTTTGCTAAATAATGGCAACGGTTCAAATCACGGCTGGAACACTCGTCTATGTCAGAGCAATTGGTGCCGTCTCCAGTGAATCCATCTTGACAGACACAGTGGCGCAGGCCTCCATGTTCTTTGCAAGTAGCATTGGGGTGACAGTCCGAACAGTATTCTGTAGCTAGCAAAAGAAAAAGAAATCTGTTTATCCATAATCTCTGCATATTTCCCAGCACTTAATACCATCATCCAGGAACACGATCTCTCACTCATACTAATAAAAAGAGAGCCCAAGATTCTCCATTTGAGGCATGATCTCTGGTATCTGTTCATGGGCCTTCCCAGCCCGAGGACCTTGCAGCTTTTCATCTTCTTCCGACTGTCAATGTGAACCTCCAGTGATAACTGTGCTTCCTTCAACCTGTGGAAGTCAAGGCTTGCAGAATTTAAGAGAGCCAAATGAGCTTCTACATGGACCAAAAATCAAATCTTGTCACTGCAGATAAGGCTTTAGATCAGTGGTTCTTAACCTTTGTTACTCGGATGCTTTTGAATTGCAACTCCCAGAAACCCCAGTCAGGACAGCTGGTGGTGAAGGCTTCTGGGAGTTGCAGTCCAAAACTCCTGAGTAACCCAAGGTTAAGAACCAGTGCTTTAGATGACTCTCCCTTGAGTAGGAATGTGGGGCATACTATAAAAAAGTCACACCGTACGATACGACAGTGAGAAAGATGTGCATCTGATTGCACTGGAAAGGGTTGCTTTGCTGAGAGCAATCTCCCTGAAGACAGCTCTTCCGTCTCTCAAGGAATTGCTCCAGCACAACCTCCCGAAGCAGCAGCCACAAAAAGGTCCAGCTTGGTCATACATCAGAGTCAGGCTGAGGCAGCATTCTCCATATGTTGTGTGATTGCCAGGATATAGGTCACACTGGACTGTGCCACATGCAGTCCAAAAGGTCAACCATACGCCCATGTGATCACACCCTCATTCTCTGCAGTTTCCTGGGTCTCACCATGCCAAGATTCCTCACCAAGATGGACCCCTGCACTACTTGAGGTTTCTTGGCTCTCTGTGAAACACACACATACACCCAGTATAGTTTTTGCAAAAAAGGAAGGGAGGGAGGGAGGGAGAGAGAGAGAGAGAGAGAGAGAAGAAAGAAAGAAAGAAAGAAAGAAAGAAAGAAAGAAAGAAAGAAAGAAAGAAAGAAAGAAAGAAAGAAAGAAAGAAAGAAAGAAAGAAAGAAAGAAATCTCTGTGATGCAGGCAGACATCTCAGCAGCAAGTCTCCTCATGACAAGATTCGGAGATTTGGTCTCATCTCCCCCCATTTCCCTTGTCCTGTTTTGTTGTGCTGCTTTTTGCTTTTGTTGTTCACATGTCCTTGCGTCCAAGTAACTGCCAAATTCTGGGTACCTCAGTGCAGAACTGAGCACAGTAAAGGTGCCATTTTGTGTAGGATTTTTCCTCACCAACCATTGGTGTTTATTCTGGGGGGAAATGGCTTCGGAACATCCAAGAAATAATGTGAGATTTCCTACAATATTTCTGTGGAGTGGGTTAAAAAAAACTTGTACATAGAAATCTTACTGTAAGAGAAAAAGCAGAATTAAAAAAAATTCTTGCTGAGTTTGAGAAGCCGAGAGATTCGTGCCTGCCTCTTGAGGAAACAGCTCCTCAATTGCCATTAAAACTGGGACCTCTTCAGTGCTGTGTCTTATATCTAAGAAGACCTCCCTTGACATAAACTAGATTTCCCCAGAATTGACCTGGCTTTTCTTGCTTCATCGTGACTGTGATGGTATCTGATTGCGTTCTCTTCCTCTCTAAACTGAAATACTCATAAAGTAGCCATTTTCATATGCTACTGAAAGAGAATTAATTTCAAGGCATGAGAGATAGAGCTAGATCAGGTGGTAATTGTGCACATTTATCCCTCGTACATAACGGATAGGAAAAACTATGTTCCATAGTTTAGTTACGGGGGCTGATTGAGGCCTACGCACACATAGCGTCTCATGTGAGCAGTCCTAGCTTGTGCATTGAGTTAATAGATATTTCCATAGTGGTTGGTTTGAATTTCACTGTGTACATTCAGACTTTGGAACCTTTACTTTATTGGACTACAACACCCAGAATCCTCCCAAAAGCTGAATCGGTGGCCATTTTGCCTGGGGAATTTGGGTATAGTTTAAAAAAGTATAACTTTTCCAAGCTGTGTTTGAGCCATTGTTGCATACGAACCAGTCGAATGTAACGCCCACAAATGAAATTTTTGGGCAGCCAGGGTTCATTCTTAGTCAAAGAAGGGAACACAATAACATAGAAGCAGGATTTTCCTCTGCCCCTGAAGCCATCAAAGTCCAGATGGTCCTCTTAAGGCAGTGGTCCCCAACCTTGGGCCTCCAGATATTCTTGGACTACAACTCCCAGAAGCCTTCGCCACCACCTCTGCTGGCCAGGACTTCTGGGAGCTGAAGTTCCAGAACCTCTGGAGGCCCAAGGTTGGGGACCACTGTCTTAAGGAACATTTTAGCTGCATTCTTCATTGCACAGGAAAATTAGAGTAGAAGGCCTCAAGGTCCAACTCTATAGTCTTACGATTCTATAAAAGCTGATTGTGCCAGAGATAGGCATGTACAGTGAGGTTGGGCATAAGTCTTAAGGATAACATATATGTTACAGAAAACGCATCATTAGAAACTGAAATCATGTTAGTGTTCCAGATCTGTGATTCTGGCAGACCTTCAAATTGGAACAATTAGGCTTGCAAGTCAAGCTTGTGATTGCTTCTTGCTGACCAATCACAAATCAAAGAAACACAATTAAAAACCTATGGAAGCTGTAGAAAGCTCATTCAGTGTCATTCAGATATCTTTCGACATGCAAGGAATTCATTCTTCTACACTCTCTGTAAGGTATCTTTTGGTCCTCACTGTTACCAGGGCTGGCCCACAATGTTCTGTCTCTAGAAGTCAAACTGCATAGGGCTCCCAGGTAGCCAAGTTAATTTAGCACAGGGGGGGAAAAAATCCCAGAAAAGAAAATGCTACAACAAATAAAAATGATTAATGTTGTGTGACCCTTTCATGAGCCCCATCAGTTGCCTACCATGGCCATCCCATGCTGTGTAATGGGAAGCCTAGCTTTGATCCTTGATCCTTACCATACATGAGGTAGCATGCTTAAGGTGCCACTCAGTCTGTCTGACAGAAAATCTGCTATTTGTCTCCAACTGTAAACATGGAAGAAGCAGAGACGATGCATCTACCAACACAGGTACCAAGATTCTAGAAAAGATTTGCTGCAATACTCACCACTCCACCTTCCTGCAGTTGGAGTTGTATCAAGCAGAGTTTCTGTGCAAGAGGAGAAAACAGTTCAGACCAGGCAGTAATACAGTGATGCCTCGCATTGCGACGTTAATTCGTTCCACAAAAATCACTGCAGAACAAAAACGTCGCAATGCAATATTAAAAAGCCCATAGAAACGCATTAAAACGTGATTAATGTGTTCCTATGGGCTTAAAACTCACCGTTCAGCGAAGATCCTCCATAGCGTGGCCATTTTTGCTGCCTCTTAAGCAAGGAATCCGTCCCTAAACACAGCGGGCGGCCATTTTTTTTACCCGGTGGCCATTTTGAAACCGCCGATCAGCTGTTTTAAAATTGTCACTTTGCGATGCTCGGTTCCCCAAGCAGGGAACAGATCATTGCAAAGCAAAAAAACCCCATAGGGAACATCGCCAAGCGATCGCAAAAAATGCGTCGCAAAGGGATTTCGTTGCTAAATGGAGCGATCGCTATGCGAGGCACCACTGTACATGGTTATAACTGGGAGAAATCAAACATTACCAGATGGCTAATACAGTACTCAGGATTCTAGTCTCTGCTAGACATTCAGTGACAGATTTGAAAGCTGCTTGAATTCAGCAAAAAGTTTTGTCAGGGGACAACTTAGTGCCAAGCTCCTAGGGCCACATTTTGGTGATGATCATCACGAGAAGGTAAGAAAGCTAGGCTGGTCAGATCTAAGAACTATTGGAGGCTTTGATTGAATTCAGCATGGGCCTTTTTCAGAGCTCGGAAAAATGACTGGCCAGGCTGGCTGGAGGTTTCTGGGAGGTGAAGTCAGCTTCTCTAATATGTTTCTTACTGATCCAGTACTGGGGGAAAATGGGCAAGTTTACTTTATCTGGCTGGCTGGATAGCTCAGTGGTTTAGGCATTTGTCTGCCCAGTTAGAGGATAGGAGGAGTTCAATTCCTCACTGTGCTTTCTAAGAAAAAAGCCAGCCTGGGTGGCCTTGGGCCAGTTAGAGGATAGGAGTTCAATTCCTCACTGTACTTCCTAAGAAAAAAGCCAGCCTGTGTAGCCTCAGGCCAGCTGCACAGTCCCAGCAGGACCCCACAAGAAAGGAATGGTAAACCCCTTCTGAGTACTCTCTACCTAGGAAACCCTGAAAAGAATCTCCACGAGTCAGATTGGACTTGACGGCACACTGTCGTCATTATTGCTTTACCAGTATTTGTGCTTGTTGTCTGTTCAGAAGTCACACCAAACAGTCCAATGGACAGCAAGAGCAGATCCAATTTCTTCATAATTGCTATTTAAATGAAAAGAAAAAAGAGCTTCACCCACCAACAATACACAGGAGAGCGGAGGACAAAAATCAACACTACAAACAACACTGAAAAATTTTGTATTACTGCTTCTTTTCCGAGGACCTGTACGTACAGTACATGTAGATGAAAACCTAAAATTACCAATAAGGGTGTACTCTAACGTATAGCGGAGAGGCTCATGTAGGACACATGGATTCAAGTTAGCAGAGAGGCTCATGTAGGACACATGGATTCAAGTTATCACTTCCCTTGAAGCTGGGGGAAGGGGGTGAGGAATTCCTCTGGGGGGTGACTAAAATCTAGCATGCACATGGACATGCACACACGCACACACATGCACGCATGCGCGCACCCACACACCGGCAGCATGGCCACAATCATGTTAGGTGTGGAATTCCAGGTGTTGTCCAAAAAAGTGACATTTGCAGGCTCTGCCTTCTGCAAAACTAGACAAAGCTGCTAGCCTACATACACTGAATTTGATATGCTTACTCTCAAGTAGACCTACCTAGATTTGTGACAAAGCCTGAGAGCCATTTTAACCCTTATAGGGATGAGGTAGGGGTAAGAATGGGTGGCCGGCTGGATTATGTCAAGACCAGGTCAGCAGTGTAGGCTTCTGGCTGCAGATCCAGAGGTTCGAAGTTCAATTCCACATTATGTGTCCTAGAAAAGCCAGCCTATGTAGCCTTGGGCAAGCTGCACAGTCCCAGGATGCTCCCCCCTCCCACAAAAGGGAATGGAAAATTACTTCTGAGTATTCTCTACATAGAAAACACCAAAAGGGGTTGCCATGTCAGAATTAACTTGATATAGAAAACCCCAAAAAGGGTTGCCATGTCAGAATTCACTTGACAGCACATGGTGATTGAGGTAGAGAAGATGAAAATAATTAGAAAATTTAAAAAAAACTCGTGGATCCAATGTTTAACCCAAAACCCCTCACATGGTGATAGAGGTAGAAAAGCTGAAAATAATTAGAAAATTAAAAAAAAAAAACGCGTGGATCCAATGTTTAACCCAAAACCCCTCCAACAAAGAAGACCTTCCTCTTGGAAACTTTAAATCCCTTTCAACATTTTGAAATAAATAAGAAAGCATGCTAGGAACTCAAGACCCAAATTACAGCGTTCTTGGGTATGTTACTGCCCTTTGAATAATCAATATCGAATCAACAGCTACTTACCCAAGGTTGAGCAGAACAAAATCTGGCCAGTTCATTCTATTTTCTTTTATATCTGATGGGAAAGCAAATGTTTGCACGGATATTTAATCAGCTTTGTTTGCCATGAAGGAAAAAACACCAACCTTGGTGATGAGTGGGTAGACCACCTTTTTTTCCTGGTTCTCTGGCTTTTTCTGAATGTTCTAGTTGCCAAAGCCACAAATATCAGAACTTACATAACCTGGGACCTGCAACATAATGTTACACTATGGAACACTTATATTCAGCCAATCAACCTTATTTGTTGTCATGGTGCTCAATTTAATTCCATCACGCCAACACCCAAACAAGAGTCAGATGTCATTCAATGTGAAGAGATAGTAATCTTCACTGGCCTTCAGATTTCTTTTTTCGAAGTTGTTGGGTTTTTGGAAGGTCTACAAACCTTGAACTTGTGTGCAGAAATGCATCTATTAGGGGAAAATAGATTAGTTCAGAGGAGAGCAACAAGGATGATCTGGAGGCTGGAAACCAAGACCTAAGAGGAAAGACTGAAAGAACTGGGGTTGTTAAGCCTTAAGAAAAGAAGACGGAGGGAAGATAGGATAGCACTTTTCAAATACTTGGAAGGTAATCATAGAGAGGAAGGGCAGGATCTATTTTCGATTATCCCAGAGTCCAAGACACATAATAATGGGCTCAAGTTTTGAATGTTGGCTAAATATAGGGAAAAACTTCCTACTGTGTTTCCCCAAAAATACGACAGGGTCTTATATTAATTTTTGCTCCAAAAATGCATTAGGGCTTATTTTCTGGGGATGTTTAAATTTTTTTTTATGTACAACAACCTACATTGATTCAAATACAGTCATGTCATCTTCTGGTTGCTACACAATGGTGGAGGGTGGGGTTTCACTTAACTGGGGCTTATTTTTGGGGGTAGGGCTTATATTACAAGCATCCTGAAAAATCCTACTAGGGCTTATTTTCAGGTTAGGTCTTATTTTCAGGGGAACAGGGTAACTGTTAGAGCAGCACAGCAATGGAACCAGTTAACTGGGGAGGTGGTGAGCACTCCAAAACTGGAGGCATCCGAGAAAGAAAGAAAAAAATGGACCATCACCTGTCGGGTCTGTTTTAATTTAGATTCCTGCATTGAGCAGGAGGTCAGACTCAATGGCCTTCCAACCCCATTATTCTGTGATTCTATGGAACAAATGTAAAAAATAGGTACCCGGATAGCTCAGTGGTTTAGGCATCTGATTGTAGAGCCAGAGGCTGAGAGTTTAAATTCCTCATTGTGCTTATTTGACAAGGGTTGGACTTGATGGTCCATAGGGTTCCTCCAAGCTCTGCAGTTCCAAGATGATGTTGATGATCACTAAGGAGATGCTTTATTTGTCCAAACACCAACAAGGCTAATTGAATTACAAGCAATTTGTCAATCTCTGTATTGATCACATGGTATACAGCAAATTGCCAGTGGGGTGAAACAGCAACAACAACAACCCTCTGAACACAAGTCCTTTGTGTTAAATCCACCCTTGGCATTATATTCATAGAACCGTAGAATCATGGCGTTGGAAGGGAGCTATAAAGCCACTGAGCCCAACTCCCTGCTCAAGGCAAGAATCCAAGTCAATGCATACCATGGCTTACAAAAGTTGTCTCCTGCTCATTCTTCTTTTTCCTTGTATTCTGTAATTTGGAAAAGTGCAAATAATTCTCCAAGTAATAATTTTTATGGCGTTCTGTAACACCGCCACTGTTGACTCTGCAGCCCCCATTTTGGGAACTTGCTTTAAACAAAAAGCCTGTACCTCTGACCCTGATTTTTAGAACTTTCATCTTTCTGCTGAGACACCTTCAACTCTTTCATGGCTAGATGGAGGAAGACTCCTCCAGAAATGGAAAGCTAGCTCCTGTTTCTAGTCCAATACTATCGGACAATTTCAGTAGCTGAATAAAAGTTCCACCTATCTTCAGACCAGATCAGAGCATCTGTAAGAGGACACAGGATGAATCAGACCCGGGTCTGTTATTCAGGCAAGGGCCAAATCAGAGGAGCAATGCATAGGTCTAGCATTCACACTCCTACCTCACAGACTTGTAGGGAAGACAAATCAAGAGTGGAAGAAAGATGGGTTTTCTTTCTTGATTCATATCAGAGCATTGCACATCTAAGAAATATTAACCAAGCTTAAAGCATGAGACAACAAGAGAACAGAAAATTTAAAGTAAAAAAAAAAATCTCATACATTACCAGGGCAGCATTGCACTGACAGCAGGAATCTTTTACCTGTAGCGGCCCCAGCGAATGTCATTAATTCCCAAATAAATGCCAGCAAACCTATTGAGCTTGGCAGTGGTGTGTTGCTTTAAAATCTGACTAGTATCTATATCTAAGTAATTCCTGGCTCATACTCCTCTCCAACATGACTTCCTTTTTTTCTCCTGTTGCCTTAAACATCTCAGGAAAACCCCTAAGGATCCCTTGTGCCAGGTGTGCCCACCTGCTATAAGACTGGCAATTTCCTCTTTTTTGTACTCAAGTAACTTCCTTTTCTTGTGGCAGAAACCCATTATACTCTTGCTAGCTTGGCCTGTGAACAAACTTATTCCAACTTGAAAGTCTTCTTGTTTGTTTGTTTTTATTGGTTGGTTGGTTGGTTGGTTGGTTGGTTGGTTGGTTGGTTGGTTGGTTGGTTGCTTGGTTGGTTGCTTGGTTGCTTGGTTGCTTGGTTGCTTGGTTGATTGGTATGCCACCTGTTTGGCAACCCAGGCCACTCTGTTACAGATACACTATGAACCTTTGTAATGTAATAGATGCTTATACCCTTAGACCACTACCTTCTATCTACACACTCATTGTACCAATGATGGAGAATCTCTGGCTTGCAGGGGTTGCCCAGCCCACTACAGTCTTCTTCTACTACTATCTTAACAAGTGGTGCGTAGAGGAAGGGGTGAAATATGATCTGTCTTTGGTTTGTAGCCTGGATTGTGATTTTAATTTTGATTTTTTTTTGCATCATGAATTAGTCTTGAGGAGCCACAGACATATTTGAGTTGGGGCTTTTTATGCTTGTAAAATAACCAAATGGGAGAAAATTAGAATAGAACCCACTGAGATTGCTTTGGTCCCATCCCATGTGTTTAGCCTTTCCTACTGCTGAAATGCAGCCCCCTTGAGACCCCTCTTCTACTGAAATATGGTCCCTGAGTCAAAATTAAAGGTTCTTTACCTCTGCCTTATGTGCTATCCCTATGGCAATACATAGGGATAGCACATGTGAAATAATAGATGAATGTCTTCAAGCATCCATGCAGGTTTGACTTCCCTACATGAGCCAAGCCCTGTACAGCTTAGCCCAACCCTATGCCCTCAACCTCAGAAGAATGCTCCTTTACCACTAGGTTTTTGAGATGTTCACAAGAGCACTCCTCGTGTGTTGATGATGGAAGAGGTTGTCCTTAACTGCCATCAAGGGCCAGGAGAGTCTTCAGCGAAGCTGTTTCCAGTGATAGCAGTCACAAGAAGCCATGGGAAGTAGTCCTTCGTCCTTCCGAAGTCATTCTTTCTGCCTTGGATCTCACATCCAGTCCAAAAGCACCACCAAGAAGTGTTGCTGCCATCTGACTCCGAGGAATGGACCATGGATGTAGGAAAAGATCCCCTCAAACTGCTCTCCATATCTCCAGTCATCATCTGCTGGGAGACTCCAATGACTACAAAAATGGACGGTGGCTGTTTTAACCAGTCAGATATACAACTTGAGCGATTAGAGGTTCCAGGGGATAAAAGCCTCCTGGCCGGTATAAATAACATCTCAATGCTTTGCTCTCCGTGGTCCTGAAACGTCACCATCTGCTACAGACAGTATTGCCGGCTAGTGATAAAAATGGTCACTTCTTTTGTTCTCACAAGGGAGAGTGAAAAATTTCGACCTTTTCTCTTTGCTCAACATAGCTGCAAAAGGCCACTTACATGTTTCATCTTTGGCACAGAAAGCCCTGTTGTTTGCACAGAAAGACAAGGATTTTAATGCAAAATACAAGTTTATTCTACAAGACCCACCTCTTTTTTTAAAGTGCTGTTACTCTAAAATAAGCTGTTTTTGTTCTTGTGTAGACCCAAAAGTCTTGCATGGCTTGCCGTTCCAAACTTTGTTGAGAAAAAAGAACATAGGTGAGTGTTCGTTAATTCTTACTACCTACGATGTAGGTTCTTAATCTGCGGTCCATGGATCCCGACGGGGGGCAGTTTTTGCAATACAACAAAATCTTAATTCCCCTTGCTTGTTTGTGTAAAATATGACTTTTATAACTTATTGCCTCTATTAAAACGGGGCTGAAGTATCTGAGATTTTGAAAGTTGTTAAACCACAACACCCTTGATCAATAGCCACTATCACTATGAGTGAAGGATGATGGAATCTTCCATCCAGTAACATCGGGGAGGAAGACGACACATGCTCCCCATCCCTGCACATTACACAAAGAAAGTCACTAAAGCACCATATTCTCTTGGGTTTTTAATATTTTGCTGAGCTGGTTTTCAGGAAAAGTTTTCTTTCAAAGTATTGTCATATGTGAGATTGGCTTCATCAGCTGCCTCAAAAACTTTTGTTAAAGTGAAAGATGGAGATAGAAACCTCTCAAATGCCTGGACACATGCATGCCAAGTACAGGAAGTTTCCGGTGTTGATTTTGTGCCTCTTATGCAAGTATGAAAACCACAGATATTTGAACAGTTCTGAAGTGTGCTAGCTAGCCATTTGAGTTTTACCAATGGAACAGGTCAATCTGCCTAACCATCCGATCCTTGCATACTTTACAAGGTTTGCTTGTCTCAGCCATGTGACGAGAACAATGAAGATTCTCAGAGCAAATGCTGAAACTCTTTCTCACGCTATTGAGAAGCAGTATGGCCGAGCCAAGACAGATACAACTAAGCCCTTGTGTTTATCTTTTATTTATTGTTTCCAGTGTCTCCTGAAGTTGACACAATCTGTTCAAAAGTCTTGTACATAATTTAGCCAACCTTGAAAAACCACCTTGCTTCCTGTTTTGTAGAAAATCTATAGTTCTTCCTTCTGAGTCTTTTCTTTGTCTTCCTTCACAGGGCCTTCCTTTTTGGTCTTTGATGAGTCCTGTGCCAGAAACATTTATAACATTATGGAATAGAGTTACCGTATTTTTCTGTGTATAAGACGCCCCCTTTTCTAACCCAAAGTAAGAAATCTAAGTGGGACTTAGCAGGTGTAGGGGGAAAGGGATCAAAGCCCTGCAGGATCACTTTGATCCCTGCTTTCCCTTCCACTTATTTTTGCTCTCTCCTCAGCTTACTTCCATGTATAAGAATACCCTCAATTTGTATTCTAAAGATTTTAGACAAAAGTATAGTCTTATACATGGAAAAATATGGTACTTCATAAACACTGTTGTTATAGTGAGCAGGAAACAGTTGAGCCTGGCTTTGTAACTTTGAAGTGGACACGTGGTAATCTATAAGACCCATTGAGTCTCCTTTTTCTACCCCCTGGAAATGTCTGGTCCTGCTGCACCATTGAGAGACAATATGGCATCTTCAAGGATAAACACATTTGCCATGTGTGCAAAACGTGGCATCACAACATCAGGCAAAGCAAAGGCTAATTGTGTTTTGATCTGCGAATTAGTCTGGGAGCTGCAAACTATATTGGGTAGAGCAAGAAAATTTCTTCCCATCCTTAGGTTGGTTTTCAGGGTGACAACAGGGTATTCTCATCCACAATGTTTGTAAAACTTTTAAATCTTCACTAGTCAGCAGCTGGATTGTCATTTATAGTTTGTTTTGATGTGATCTATGTAATGGGTAGCAAGACTCTCAAGTGAAAATTGAATTATTATTCTACATTAGAGCAGATATTCTGGTTGAATTCTTGTTGCTTAGCATAGCAAGTAACACTAGAGTAGCCTCTTTCAATCAATGGTTATTTGGTGAGTCAACTCCTCCGTATGTTCTGCTGATTCCAATGGGACTACTCTAGTTGCAATCTACCTTAGTACAGCAAATTACAACTAGAGTAGGTTCAATTGAATTAATGGAACTTATGGAGGACTTCACTCGCCAAATGCCCACTGATTCAAAGGGGCTTTTTCAGTGTGATTTACTATGCTAAGCAACAGGATTTTGGCCTGAGAATTTTGTTAACTGCAGGTAAGCCCACTGTCTCAATGGGTTTACTTCAGTTGGGAACCAACAGCTGAATTTGGCCTCGGTCTTCACCCTGGTTTTATTACTATCAGCCAGAATTCTCTTGGATTTGCAAAGCATATGTTTGACAATCAAGCCGGGCTACTCAGAAGTAGCAGACTTATTTGTGGACAAGCAGACTTAGTTGTGTGATGCAGAAGGGAAAACAGAGTGAGCATGTACCATTTTTTCACTATTGAATTTTAGCCAAGGAAGCTAAATCTTGGATAAATGGATAAATCTGTAACACTGTGGGTCTGCTCAGATCCATGCCCACCCCACATCTAAACAATCTCATGTACACATTTTAGAGGTGTAGCAGAAATTCTTCAAAAGTTATGCAAGCTTCTGAGTTATGCAGAATTGAGGTAATGAATATTTGTAAATTTTCTTGTTCTTAGAGATGTTCCAAGCCTCTTGATTCCAAGACATGTCCCTGCATCAGATTTCCTGGGTTCCCATCAAAATGAGACTTTGGCCTAATTTTTCTATCGCCTTCCTGCATGTCCACCCATTTTTCTATGCAGGAGACTCTGCACCGCTTAATGCCTTTTCTGGTGAATCCTGTACAGGAAGGATAGCATTCTGTGCAGGAATTGTAACAATCCAACACAGTATGGCATTTCTTCCAGAAAAAATTATTCATGACACTTTTAAAAAATCCTATAGAAGTTCATATAAAATATCTTGGAGGAAAAAAGACACCTCATGCAGGAGAAAAGAGTAAAACATTTCTGGGTCTCTGTTCCTCTCCAAAAGTGAAAGATTGTAAGATGCACATCCGTGTTACACAGAATAGTGAGAAAATGTGTGTGAAGCATTTGAGTCAGACGGAACATGACCTACATAAAGGGCATAGATATCAGGCTGCTGATCACCACCAGCACAGTTCCATGGCAACACCCCCCTCCCCCCGGTAACAATGCCACTGTCCTCAAGCAACAGAGGCTCCAACTTATAAAGATTATATTACTCAAGTCTTCCTAATTGGCTGCAATGTGCAGGAAACACATGGGTACATCTTTTAAAGAATAGTCTCTTAGATGAGCAACATCCCTTACCTTCTTTCTTGCCTTGATTTGATCTTCTAAGAATTCGGCGAAAGCATCCAGAGTGTATTCCCCTCTATAAGGGATGACCTTAAAAGAGTGGAAGTGGGAGCAGGTGTTAAAGCAACGCGGAAGGATCTGAAATCATGTGGTCTCCTCACAGTTACAGCCACGTTGTACATTTCATAAGAAAATGAGAACATAAAATCTCTTCCTATGGGTAAAACTGAGTGGGTATCCTGTTTAGCATTTCTTTCGCACAGTAGGTCAGCGTGGCGTTGACTCTATTAGGCATATTTTTCTGTCAAATGTTTCTCCTACCACCTACTATCTGATCCTTCTAACTGAAGACGGTGGTGGTTTCACCCATTACCTTCTGCATTCCAGTCACCCATGATTATCTGCACATCCTGTTTTCATATATGATCACTTTCCTCTTGGTCCCTGGCATGAAAGCTTTGATTTCTGCTTCTTCAGCATCTTTAGCTGGAGCACAGACATAGATAGTCATGTTGATAAGTTTTCCAGAAAGTCTGGCTGATAAAATGGGACGTGGTGGCGCTGTGGGCTAAACCGCAGAAGCCTGTGCTGCAGGGTCAGAAGACCAGCAGTCGCAAGATCGAATCCATGCGACGGAGTGAGTGCCTGTTGCTTGTCCCAGCTCCCGCCAACCTAGCAGTTCGAAAGCATGCAAATGCGAGTAGATTAATAGGGACCACCTTGGTGGGAAGGTAACAGCGTTCCGTGTCTAAGTTGCACTGGCCATGTGACCACGGAAGATTGTCTTCAGACAAACGCTGGCTCTATGGCTTGGAAACGGGGATGAGCACCGCCCCCTAGAGTCGGACACAACTGGACAAAAATTGTCAAGGGGAACCTTTACCTTTACCTGACTGATAAAATATGTTCAGATTTTTGCATTATTTCCCCACAGTGTTTGTGCTACATCTTGCCTCTCTATCTCCACCACCATCATCAGTAGAGCTACCATTTCTTTTTTGTTGAGGGTTTGTACATTCCCAAAGAATATAGACGCATCTTGATCTGCTCAGTGTTTGCTTCCCCCCCCCAGCAGCTGTGCCAGGAGTCTTCAGTTATAACAGAAGCTCATTTCATGACAATTTTCTTTTCATTTTTCCTAACATGTTCAGACCCCCGCATTGCTCCAAGGCAATGGTTCACCTTGAGTCTCCAGATGTTCTTGGACTTAAATGCCCAGAAATCTTTACCACTAGTTGTGCTGGCCAGGATTTCTGAGAATTGTAATCTAAGAACATCTGGGGGGGGCAAGATTGGAACCATTGTCTTGGAGCAATTGCTAACATCTACATCCAAGAGGTGGCATGTAATACGTAGTATCTTCTCAAGCAGTCTTTCTAGAAACTGAAGCTATACCAATGGCAATGTAAAAACAGAACAAAAACCTCAAAGCATTTATATTCTTAAAAAAATAATATGGCTCAGGATTGTGTAAGTGACACATGTTGCACCATTTAAATGCACTGGCTGCTTCTTGGTTCATTAGAATCTGGGCATGAACTCACAGCAATAGAGAGCCATCTGAAGAGATTAAATGAGGACAAATGTCTTTGAATATAATTTATGTGCGGGGAATGGGGGAAAAAAATGAAAACCTGAGTAATGTCTTAATTATAAAAGAGTTCCAGTTGAATCAAATTATTCGGCTCCAGAGGTGATGTTCTTCTTTCAATTAGATTATCCATCCAAATGGTGAAATATGAGCATTTGTTTAACGCGCATCCTTTTAAAAAATGGTGATTTCCCTTCTTGTAAGATTATTTCCTTCTTTAGGAAAAGCCTATGAATAAGGGATCCAAAAAGCAATTGAGAGAAAAGTGTTTTGTTGTTGTTGCATCTGCAAATCTTTGCATAAATACAACATGTATTAATTGTGATGCAGCAAAGCTCACCGGCTGTCTTGTTTACTAAAAGTGATTTAGGAAACTGTTCCAGAGATCAAGGCTTTTCACGTGGTGAGAATGCTGGCTTCCGATCGCACCACTGCTCCATAATAAAGTGTCAGATTTGCACGCAGAAGGGTTCCAATGTTAGTCTCCAGGAGAGACATATGGCTGAAAATCTACCCTGGAGAAAAACCCACAACAGCCAACCTATCTAGATAATTTTGAATTTTGTTCCTATTCTTCCAAGGTATTAGCTATTCCACCCAATCTGTCATCCTTAAATTTGATTATCATTCTCTGCACACCCCGATCCAGGTCATTAATAAAAATGTTGAAAAGCACTGGGCCCAGGACTGAGCCCTGGGGTACCCCACTTGTTACCTCCTCCCAGTTTGAGAATGAACCATTAATCATCACCCTCTGAGTACAACGTCCTGATTCTACAATTTTCTGATCTCATAGGCCAGTCCAAAACCAGACTGAAATGGGTCAAGATAATCCACTTCATTCAGGAGATCTTGGAGCTGAGAAACCACTACATACTCTAGTACCTTGTCCAGAAATGGAATACAGTGGTGCCTCGCTTAACGACGATAATCCATTCCAGGAAAATCGCCTTAAGCGAAAACATCGTAAAGCGAAATAAAAAACCCCATTGAAACGCATTGAAACCTGTTCAATGCGTTCTAATGGGGTAAAAACTCACCGTCCAGCAAAGATCCTCCATACAGCAGCCATTTTCGCTGCCTGTATAGCGAGGAATCCATCCCTAAACACAGCGGGGAGCCACTTTAATTACCCGGCGGCCATTTTGAAACCACCGATCAGCTGTTAGAAAAACATTGTTTTGCGAAGAATTGGTTCCCGAAGCAGGGAACTGATCATCGCAAAGCGAAATTCCCCCATTTAGACCATCGTTTCGATATGGATGCCCAGGATGCCCAGGATCACAAAAAGATATGGATGCTCAGGATGATGAAGTGGATAGGCTAGGACTCTGGATGCCCAGGATGCCCAGAATCGCAAAAAGATATGGATGCCCAGGATGATGAAGTGGATAGGCTAGGACTCATAAAGCGGATTCGTCGTAATGCGGGGCAATCGTAAAGTGAGGCACCACTGTATTTGAGACTGGCCAATAATCGTCCAGTAAATTGGAATCCAGGGAGGGTTTTTCCAATAATGGTCTTATTACTGCCTTCTTTAAACTTGCTGGGATCCTACCCTGCTGCATGGAAGCATTAACCACTACCTGTAGCCACTCGGCCATTCCCACTGTGGCTGCTTTTATAAGCCAGGAAGGGCAAGCAAGGGTCCGAGACATATATAGTGGCTCTCATTTTTCGAGGTATCCTGTCCACATCCTCAGGCTTTACCAACTGAAACATATCCATTATAACAGGACGAGGAGGGACCAACGTTCCATCCACAGGACCTGCATCAGCTAAAGCACTGGTTCTTAACCTTGGGTTACTCAGGAGTTTTGGACTGCAACTCCCAGAAGCCTTCACCACCAGCTGTCCTGACTGGGGTTTCTGGGAGTTGCAGTTCAAAAGCATCTGAGTAACAAAGGTTAAGAACCACTGAGCTAAAGCACTGGTTCTTAACCTTTGTTACTCAGATGTTTTTGGACTGCAACTCCCAGAAGCCTTCACCATCAGCTCTGCTGGCTGGGTTTTCTGGGAGTTGCAGTTCAAAAACACCTGAGTAACAAAGGTTAAGAACCACTGACTGCTAAAGCATTCAAGTCAGAGCGATCTGACTGACTTTGCCTGCAAGGTTACACACAACTTCCTCCTAGCTGGTTGCTGTGGTCAAGTAGTCATGCTGGCTGGTGGATTCTGGGCGTTGTGATCTGCAAAAGGAACTCCTTTAAGATCTCAGCCACAGCGTACATCAGCTAGATCGAACAGGTGCTGCTACATTTCTTTTAGGTCCAATATATGGCTAGATCCTGGACAGCAGTCAGCAACAACCAGGTTGCTGTCCTTAGAAATGTGAAGAACGCCATGCCATATCATGAGCTCAAAGCATGCAGACAAAGTCGCTCACTTCTCTTACTGACGTTGACAAGGAGAGAATAAACAACATATAGCAATATTATTTTTAAAAAATAATAGTGGCTAAAAACGATATGGATACCCAGGATGATGAAGTGGATAGGCTAGGACTCATAAAGTGGATTCGTCGTAATGCGGGGCAATCGTATAGTGAGGCACCACTGTATTTGAGACTGGCCAATAATCGTCCAGTAAATTGGAATCCAGGGAGGGTTTTTCCAATAATGGTCTTATTACTGCCATCTTTAAACTTGCTGCATGGAAGCATTAACCACTACCTGTAGCCACTCGGCCATTCCCACTGTGGCTGCTTTTATAAGCCAGGAAGGGCAAACAAGGGTCCGAGACATATATAGTGGCTCTCATTTTTCGAGGTATCCTGTCCACATCCTCAGGCTTTACCAACTGAAACATATCCATTATAACAGGACGAGGAGGGACCAACGTTCCATCCACAGGACCTGCATCAGCTAAAGCACTGGTTCTTAACCTTGGGTTACTCAGGAGTTTTGGACTGCAACTCCCAGAAGCCTTCACCACCAGCTGTCCTGACTGGGGTTTCTGGGAGTTGCAGTTCAAAAGCATCTGAGTAACAAAGGTTAAGAACCACTGACTGCTAAAGCATCCAAGTCAGAGCGATTGGACTGACTTTGCCTGCAAGGTGACACACAACTTCCTCCTAGCAGGTTGCTGTGGTCAAGTAGTCATGCTGGCTGGTGGATTCTGGGCGTTGTGATCTGCAAAAGGAACTCCTTTAAGATCTCAGCCACAGCGTACATCAGCTAGATCGAGCAGGTGCTGCGACATTTCTTTTAGGTCCAACATATGGCTAGATCCTGGACAGCAGTCAGCAACTACCAGGTTGCTGTCCTTAGAAATGTGAAGAACGCCATGCCATATCATGAGCTCAAAGCATGCAGACAAAGTCGCTCACTTCTCTTACTGACGTTGACAAGGAGAGAATAAACAACATATAGCAATATTATTTTTAAAAAATAATAGTGGCTAAAAACGATATGGATACCCAGGATGATGAAGTGGATAGGCTAGGACTCTGGAGACAATGGCTTAGATGTTGTTCCTGCTGCTGCTTCTGTCGCCGCTACTAATGATAATTGATAATAATAATTTTAGAACTGCAGAGCTGGAAGGGACCCTATGGATCATTGAGCTGAGTTCCTGTCAAGGGGGCACAGTGAGGAATCGAACTCCCAACTTCTGGCTCCACAATCAGATGTCTAAACCACAGAGCTATCCAGATTTACCTATTTCATCTTCTGCTTTCTAAATGCTACCTGAACCAGTCAGATAAATGGTGGATAGCTACAGAAGGCCTGAATGATTAACTAAACATCAGTGAATCAAGGGACAGAGCAAATCATTACTGTAGGTGAGACCCTAGTAAGAAATAAGTAGAAACTTCTGTACAACTTGAATCTTTTTTCATTATTGTCATTCCCACTTACTGCACTGTTCTTTGGTGTTTTTCCAAATGCCACCTCCCTTTGCTCCCCATCTTTGTACTGAATCTTCTTTGCTCCGTTTTGCAATGCCTTGATGAGGGGGGGGGATATGAAATGTCTGTGTGTTTTTGCAAATACCTTTCCTGAGGTATAGAATTCCATAAGGTACTGAAATTTGAAGGCATATTCCCACTAATGTGTGGGCTAGAGTCCCTGGCTGCAGATTTGAGCCCCCGCTATGCCCCCCCAGGAGAGCCAAGATCACTAAGAACGTTTGTGGGTTGTGTTGTTTATGCCCGGCCATTTGTGCAGCCTTGGGCAAGCTGCACTTTTCAATACTTCACCCCTGGAAAACTCCTGGGAGGCTCACCATAAATTGGAATTGACTCGACAGCATATGGTCTTATTCATGTGTACGTCTTTTGCTTACATCTCTGTGGTTAACTAAACCAGGTTTCTGCACATGTTTCAAAGATACTCACTTTAATTGTGTGTGTTTATTTGTGTGCATTTCAAACATTGAGGTTTCTTTGCACACTTATACTCAAAATCTTGTGGGTCACAGATTCGATACATTCATTCTTAAAATCCAGGCAGTATGGATTTGTGTTCTTTCCCCCGCATGCTGTTTTCCTAATCTCTCAAAGCACTACTCTGAAATTGCAGCAAATGCTACATCAAAGTTGACCGTTTCTAAGAGCAATAATGGAGATTAACATTTGCCCATTTCATTTCATTCCATTACAGCATATCCATCGCCCCAAAAGTACATATGGCAGGACTAACAGGGTCTCACCTCAGTTTCAGATCCTGCTGGGAAGTACCTGAAGAATGGATACCGTTCCACATTGACCAACAGGATGTCATTTGCTGTGTAGTCTATTTTTGCAATGACTACGTTTTTGTGATTTTCAAACATCTTGCCAAGCTCTTCCCAAATGGGGAACAATGTCTGGCAACGGTGTGACCATGGGGCATCTGTGAGGAGAGAAAAAAAAATAATTGGTTTTTGTTGCTGCCTCCTGTACAATGTTACGAGCCTCTATCCAAAGTTCTTCAGGCACTCTGTCCACCAAATCGAGTTCCTGAAATCTGTTCATCACTTCCACTGTGTATTCATAAGGGATGTGGTTTAGATTATACCTGACTAATCCAGTGGTTTTTCCTACTCTCTTCAGTTTAACCTTGAATTTTGCTATGAGAACCTGATGATCAGAGCCACAATCAGCTCCAGGCCTTGTTTTTGCTGACTGTATAGAGCTTCTCCATCTTTGGGTGC